GGGTTGTGGGTGCAACACTATTAGAGCAAGGATTATTCCATATAATCTGATTACGAAACCAGATTCCCTTGCGCGCCTTGTGTGTTTGTCTTGTTTACTATTCTCTTCCCTTCGGACGTTTGAAGGTCAGTCAAGATTCCTTAGAGGCAGCTGATTTCTCCAATCCCATCCACCCCAACAAAACCCTATCCACCCTACAGCTTACCCTTTTCTCTGTCAAGAACATACGGAGTATTTTTCTTTTTCTATTCTGGGGTTATCTCAGACTGGAACCCCTAAAGCAAGGATTTTTCCCTCTTTTCTTTGCTGGGTGTTTTTCCTTTTTTGAAATTCTTGGCGGGCTTTCAGTTCATTAGCTGATTCAATGAGCTTTTGGACTGAATCTTAAGAATGGCTTAGTGAATTTGAGATTTGGAATGAAGAGGGGGTTAGGGTTGGTGGAAGACAGTGGTGAGGGCTTGAGGGGATTAGATGTTGTCTTCTTAGTCTGGGGTTAGGGTTCTTAAAAGATGGGGTTTGAGGGTTGGGATGATGTGGCAAAATCTAAGGAAGGGAAGAAGAAGAAGAAGAAAATGGGTGAGAGTGGAGATGGCACTGGTTGCTGGATTAAACTTAGGTTCATTGGAAGCTGCATTTCTTCAAGATCTGAAGTTGATAACTCCATCTCTGGAATCAGTGCTCGCTGCGGTACATCTGCATTCCTCTTTTTGTTCATCACTAATTCTTTCTGTTTTGTTTTTTTTTCTTTGAATTTATTAGTCAGAGTTTTTTCAGTTCATTCTTCAAGAACATTTTTTTAATAACATTGAGACATTTCTTTACCACTGAGATTTCCCAAACACTTTTTCTTTCAAGAAAATAATGCTTAGTGCCTACTCAGATCTTACCCTACTTGGAACTAGAGAGCCTGTATCCAAGAGACCTACAAAGATCCGATCTTTAAAAGCTTATCAAGTCTATATTAGGCTAATTTTTTATTAGCCCTAAAAAGATTGGATCTTTAAATGCTTCTCAAGTCTAAATCAGGCTATTTTTTATCATCCCTGCTGGATTCAATTAATTATTGCATTATTTTGTTATCAGAGAGTAAATCTACTAATGATACAAGCATAGGCCAGGCGGTGGCTCCTGTTAGTTCGTCAACCACCACAAGCAATGCAGAGAGCAGTTCATCGACCTCTAAACTCGAAGAAGAGCTTAAAGTCTCTTCTTTGCTCCGTAAGTTCACATTCAATGATCTGAAGTTGGCCACAAGAAATTTCAGACCAGAATCTCTTCTGGGAGAAGGGGGTTTCGGTTGCGTTTTCAAGGGGTGGATTGAGGAGAATGGAACAGCACCGGTTAAACCAGGGACTGGTCTTACTGTTGCTGTCAAAACCCTGAATCATGATGGCCTTCAGGGTCACAAAGAGTGGCTGGTTTGCTTCTTTCCTTTCTTAGGGGACCGTTTGGAACTCAGAAATTGATAGTTAGTGAAAATGTGAAGCAAATGAAAATGGAAGGGAAAACTAAGGCAAAAATATTAATATGTTTAAAATCAAACATTTAAAAGATAATATTTTTCTGGGTTCCAAACGTCGACTTTAATGTCACTGCTCTTTTGGTGATTTATCTTAATGTGGATGATTCTTACTATGATAGGGTGGTTTGTTATTGTATGGCAGGCGGAAGTGAGTTTTCTTAGCGACCTAATTCATCCTAATTTAGTGAAACTGATCGGTTACTGCATTGAAGATGATCAGAGGCTTCTTGTATATGAATTCATGCCTCGTGGAAGCCTGGAAAACCACCTCTTTAGGAGTAAGTGCCTACCCTTTCACACAAAAATGTACATTGATTATTTGCATTCAAGGCCAACAAAAATCCTTGTATAATTCCACGAAAGTAGTACTCTAATTAATCCTAGATCTCTTAATGGTCTTATCTAAGGCCATATCCTAGATCTCCAAACGGTCCTATGTTTGACCAAGATACGACCTTTTATTATTAAATTGCATGCAGGGTCTCTGCCACTGCCATGGTCAATCAGGATGAAGATTGCTCTTGGTGCAGCTAAAGGTCTCACCTTTCTTCATGAGGAAGCACAGCGCCCCGTCATTTATCGCGATTTCAAAACATCCAACATCTTATTAGATTCTGTATGTCAAATACATGTTTAGGATTTTCTTTAATCTTTCAAATACATGTGTGGATGGATTTCCTAATGAGATGGGAAATTGTTCCAGGATTACAACACCAAGCTTTCTGATTTTGGGCTTGCCAAAGATGGCCCTGAGGGAGACAAGACCCACGTTTCAACTCGGGTCATGGGGACGTATGGTTACGCGGCGCCCGAATATGTCATGACAGGTAAATTTTGTATCTTTGATTGGAAGAGGTTTTTTATATTTTGTTTCTTACTTTTAGTTTATGGGTATGTCTTCAACACTATTGTTTGACCAAGATATTCTCATTTCTGTGATAATTTTTTTTCCCTTAGGACATTTGACATCAAAGAGTGATGTCTACAGCTTTGGTGTGGTGCTTCTTGAAATGATCACGGGCCGAAGATCGATGGACAAAAACCGGCCCAACGGGGAGCATAACCTAGTGGAATGGGCGCGTCCTCTCATCGGTGACCGGCGGAGGTTGTATAGGTTGATAGACCCTAAACTTGAAGGGCACTTCTCCGTGAAGGGTGCCCAGAAAACCGTGCAGTTGGCTGCACGGTGTCTCAGCCGGGACCCGAAAGCCCGACCCGTGATGAGTGAAGTAGTTGAAGCACTGAAGCCATTGCCAAACCTCAAAGACATGGCCAGCTCCTCCTACTACTTCCAGTCCATGCAACTCGAGCGGGCTTCGTCCAGCCCGAGTGCCAAGAACGGGCTCCGAACTCAGGCCCACCACCCGTTCCCGAAGAACGGCCCGCACCACCCGAGGAGCCTTTCAATACCGAATGCATCTCCTTACCATCATCATCATCTTCATCATCAGTTTCTGCAAAATTCGCCAAAACGAAATGGGAAAGTGTAGGGTAAGCATCGATTGTTTTCATTCATGTTTATGGAGATGATACCTTTTATTGGAACTGGTGAAATCTCCCTGGGAGTTGGAAATGAATGTGATGTAAGCAGAGGTAAAATCTATGGGATACAAATATTAATCCATCCATTTGCAGTTAATTTTTGATTCCTTTATGCCATCTCCATGAGTTTTTAAATGTGTTAAAGTCAAACATAAGGATGATCTTAAATTCGACTATATATTTTCCAAGAAAACTATGGATATCAATGATGGAACTTAGTGAAATTAGTTAATTTTTGATTCCTTAGCATAAAAAAATACTAGAAACTCATTAGCTTTGACACCAAGCGTGACACTATTAGGCTATTTTCGTACAGACTAATCGTTGGTAGGAAATTATTGTCTTTAAAAGATTAGTGATGTCAATCTTGGTGTTAACCTTGGTTGGTTTGTAACATGACTCATCTAGCATTGGTACAATCATTATAAAATATTTATTACAACACTTTTTGTTCGTTAGTACGGAGTAAATTATTGAGTTTCAAAAAAGTCATAATATTTTATTGCCAAGCAAAAAGAGAAGAAATCAATTTTTTCATTAAACACGTAATTTTAAAAAAGAATAACAGATAAATTAAATATCATAGATTTTATCATGGAGTAATAAAATTAAAAAAATTTCTACAGAAATGAAAATTTTAAAAATGTTTCATGTTTTTTAAGAGTCGTCGTTACCATGACCCCTTTCAGGACTGAGATGAGTAAGATGTAGGAATATGATATGTTTATGTCATATACCCCCTTTTCAATTTTAAATTGTCTTGTATAGCTCACTATGGAATGTTTTTTGATTTGTATATGATTGTTAGGACTATGAAACATTTATGTCACAACACGGTGTTATCCATTAACACTCAAAGTGAAAGACAAGAGAGCCTAGTCCTTTGTATATTCTAAATTAAGTGGTAAAAAAATCTAGTGACACTGCTAACTTTTTTAGAACAATTAGTGTGACACGGTTGAAAATTGATCCTTGCACGATAATTTATACATGCCCTGGCACGTCCTTTTTTTTTTTAAATTAGTGTTCCCTCAATTTTTGTGTTCCTTAAAAAGTCATTTTGTGCTTTTTTTTTTCTTTCAAAGAACGCACCTTTGAATGCGGAGATGCTCATTTTGCTTTTGCTTTTTATTTTGAAGGATACCCAATTTGTAGAACATGGAAAATGCCATTTTTACACCATGAATAAGACTGGATGAAAGTACTGCAGAATAGCTTAGTAACCTTAGCTATGAATAAATAATGATGAAATAATCAATCAAAAAATAATGGTGAGAAATAGTATCAAGGCCAAGGTAAAAAAATGTACCGCAATTGGTTTCTACGTACTACCGAGTATTATTTTTCATTTCAACCTCAAAAGTTCGAGATGTTCTACCAAACATATATCAAGCACAACCTCATAAAGACATAAACTCACAGCTATTCTTCTAATCTCACCGCTAAATCTATAGAAAAGAAGCAAGTGTAAAACGAAAGCAGTGTGAAAGAAAACTTAGTAACTTGAAATAGTAGAAACAAAAATTGACACCAATAAATATTCTAGAAAGATCGTATGATTCATGATGATAATGTTAATCCATCAACTTACACTCAAATGGACGAAACCAAAAGAATTAGAAGTCGCACTGGCATGAAAGCACCACGCAATAAAACATTATTTTTTACAGTACCATTCTACAATGGCAACAATTGGCAAGAACCCATAACCGCACAAGCACAGTTCATAGTTCATACGGTTGAAAATAAGAGGCGAAGGCTTTCTACCTAACTTATTTCTCAACACCAAAAAACAAAACATCACTGTCCAAACACTTCCCCAGCATTATAGGAAAACCAATCATGGTTTGAGTGCAACAGACAACCCAATCTTGGCACTCTTCTCAATTGCCCGGGTGTCCACTTCACCGGAGATGGTGAAAAGTGACTTTGGGCGCCACGCGTGTTGGATAAGAGTGTGTACCTTACCATTGTTGTTAACCTTAGCCTTAACCGTGGTCAACGGATCCAATGCATGTTGTGTCCCAATGGTGAGAGTATTCTCGTTGCTCGAGAAGCTGTGAATCAACTCTGCTCCAACAGTTGTGTTTGTCAATGGGCGTACAGTTTGATAGTATGATGCAGCAAGCTTGTCGCCCTTGTCACTCCTGTATTATAAATTGCAATATAGAAAATAAGGAGAGTATCTGGAAACAATAAGAAAATACAAATAGAGTTAACACGATTTTGTAACCCTACTACACTTTAATACTCAACCTGGTACGCACCTCTTAGTAGCCTTCATGCACTCGAGGGTATTTTTGTTTGTTTGCTAACCTAATTGGGTCTTAATGTGGTCCCCAACTAAATATATGTAATAAAACTAAATTGCATAATCTAGGTCAAGATTGAGTCTATAAGAAAGCCAATGACCAAACCAAGTGATGGTGTAACTTTGTATACTCCATGTTGAGGAGTAAATTGTATAGTTAAAGGCTAAACTAGGTGTCAGTCAATTAAAAAACAATAATATGGTTGGTTCATATTTTTAAATTTCGGAGATGCACAATTCTTGGAAATCACCCATCTTATTTGTATTTTTATGTTTATTGGTTTGTTTGGGTATATATATAGCATATTTATCTTTTTTTCGGAACACTCCTTTTGGGACTTTTTAAAACGACTCTTATTTGGGACGGAGAGAATATTAGACAAAAATAAAATATGACAACCATGCCAAAAGATACGCACAATGTTAAAGAAGCTATCAAGTCCGAGGTAGAGAAACTCAAGCCACCATTGACTTTGTCAAAATTCCCACTAGCGGTGTTGAATGACAGGTCAGTCCCAACAGAAAATGTATTGGTCCCAGCAACACCAGAGAAATTGACAAGTGGACTAGCAGTTAGTCCGATGCTAGTATTGATTCCAGCATACTCATGTAAGTATTGTAGCTCTACCTGTTAGTAAATATAATATACTATTGAGTTTTGATTGGATCATCAGCAGCATAAATGCAACAGAAACATAGCATTGAAGTTCATCTATAAATGGGTAAAAAATTACCTTGCCAGATTTCTGGTCTGGAGCAATGAAGCTAAAGATGGTTTTCAGCCCTGGTGCTGGTTCATCAACGGTGATGGTTGCATACAGCTGCATATTATCATCCAAAAGCCAACGTTAATTGGATTCTTATAAACAATGTGACAAATAAACAATAAATTCAAACCAACAGGAGGGCATTGCTTTGATTCATAATAGTAGGGTTCGTCCGGAACTCATAAAATGACAGAGAGTGAAAAGGAAAATAGTGTGAAGTTTGGAAGGAAAGAAAATTTGGGGGGAATTGAATGTTCGGTCTCTATAAAAAAATTAGATTCTTTTTCAGAACTCCGTTAATTTTCAACTGAGTATAATATAAGGACAACAAAATCTAAATATATGTATATCTTAAAAAGTTTTAATCAAACTTGGATGTGCTTTGTAATTTCCAAGGTAACACTGGCATTGACAACACATTCCCTTGGCATTCTTTCATTTCCCTGCCATTTTCTGGGTTCCAAACACACCCTTAGAGAATAAAGGATTAGGTTACAAGTGTTTGGATTCATATGTTAAGTTCACAGCGTCCATTGTATCTCCAAGTTACTGAAACTCTTGTTAAATATCTCAAATCTCAAAAAAGGAAAAAAAACAAGAAGAAAAAAGAAAGACTTACTTTGGAATTGGTGTCCACTTTAATGTCAGTGGTGATGTTTTTATTCTTCAGCTGAGTATTGACATCAGCTACAAGTGACTCACCTTTCCTAACACCGGATGAAGTAATGGCCTGAAACACAAGAAAAGAAATACGGAGTAATAAATATACACCACCGGGCTAACATTTAAGAAGGAAGAACCTTGTAAAGCAATTTACAAATGAAAACTTAGACATATCAAACACATAAGTAAACTAATAAGCTTCATACTACATTACAACTTTTGTGCATGTACTATTTGTCTACTAAGTGCATCATCATTATATGGTATTGATTGTTGCCTACACATTGCTTTGTTAGGACTAGTGAGGGGTTAAAATACAAAAAGATTGTGCAAATGAACATAACCACAAGTCACTACACTTGATAAGAGACTAGCTCTGCTGTATAAACAAATGCGTATTGGTCAATCTAGGTTAAGAGTATATTTTGAGCATAACTAATGCTTTGTTTAAAAAGGTAAAATCTTTAAAGATGTATAAGAATTATATCAAATAAATAATCTATACTTTACAATGAAGTAAAAAATGTCAATAACTCCAACAATCCCATAGTAGAACACATATACACCCACATTCCCACCTAAACCTACTTCTCAGTTAGTCATTTCACAATGTTGCCAGAACCCATCATCCTCATGATAATCTTCACCTCGATTACAGATACAAATATGAACGCAACAAAACGCAAAGCTATTAGATGCTCACCACCCCCGTCGCGGTGTATGTAGTGACGGTAAACTTGTGGTCGGAGACGTAGTCCCTGTACAGAAGATCTGAACAGAAATTAAGAAAAAAATCATTTCCGATCGACTTCGTACACCGATAGATGCAAACACAAACACAATACAATGCACAGATGATGAAAAAACAAACAAAAAAACGCTTCGAGAGAGAGAGAGAGGAGACTGACCTCTGGCTTTTTTGCCGATGTCGGAGTATAGACCGGGGCCCTTCACCATTTCTGCTTCTGCTAAAAGCACCGGAGCTCTGTAGAGAAAATATCGTCGGAGAAGAAGAAGAAGAAGAAGAAGAGGGCCTTCAATTCAATGGAGAAACATATGTGGCAGGGGAATTATAGTTTAACGAGCCCTAATTTTCTTTTTCCCTTCCTTCTTGGAAAATGGATTCTCTATCGCCCGATTGACATAAATGGGCTGGATCAAGTAAACCATTGATTTATCCAAGAAAAAATGGGCAACAATTAGTTTGGGTAATACTCTCGGCCCGCCTTTTTGTAGGTCCAAGAAAAAAATTAAGGAGAATCATTTGTTCACTTCGTCTAAAATTAAGTATTCTTTGAATTCTAAAATAATCTGCCTTGCTATTTAAAATTTACAAAAACTTGGGTTTACTTGCATTTTTCACTGATTTGTTTGGTAATATTAAATAATATGTTGATCCATTTTTTGTAAATTTTTTATCCAGTTTTTAAATATATTCTTTGTAACTTTTATTTCTATACCATTT